GCCTATTTTTGTATTCAAAATCGTCGTTTTCAATCCTCTTAGTTTAAAAAAATTTTCGGGGGCGGATCCTCGGGAGGGAGCCCACCCCCCTCCACCCCTCGTATTTTCGCCTCAGGCCCCAAAAATCACAGAACCGGCCCTGGGTATGTGAGTTCGAGTATTATTTGTGGATACTATTTGATTGATTGTTTCATGGTGGAATTTTGGGAACCATGTGTGGTTCATGTATCAAACTGGATACTTGGGAAGAGGAATACGGTTTTTTGTGTTGGAGAGATTTGTAGTTTTTGATTGAAGAGTTTTGTTATTTCGATGCAGTTGGATTTATTTTTCCAGGTGGAGAAATTTTGTTGCTTAGTTCGATGCACCGAAATTTGTATCAAGGTGGAGATTGTTAGGTTCGATGACCCAAATTTTTTGGAATATTTTGAGAATATTTTCCCCTTCTTTGCACATTGTTTTATTGGGAAATATTGTTTCCTTATTTTCACGTAATATTGTTTCTTTTTTATTTCACGTGATTTTATTGAAAAAATATTATTTCCACTATTCCACATTATTTTTTATATTATTTCTATCTTTATGGTTTAGTATGCACCTATAAATATGTAGCCCTTTTCCTTCATATTTCTCGAAGCATTATACACATTGTATAATTTATGCTCTCCATTGGTTGAAATAAAATATCTTCTTCTTCCATTAATTCTCTTGTGTTTTCTTTACTTTAAATCTTGTCTTTGTGTTTGGTGATCTATTACTTCAATTGTACCATATTAAAGGTGCGTTTGTCGCCCATTATTGAGAAAAAAATAGAGTAATGAATAGTTTTTTTTTTTTTAGAATGTGTGGTTGAAAAGTAAAGTAATTTTATTAGTTTGTGTGGAGAATATTTTATTGGATGAATGTGGGTGGAGAATCTTACTGTAGTAAACAATTTTTTGGAATAATAGTTGACAAACAGGGGCTAAATCTCGTTTGGTGAATGCAAAGCTTCCTTGTTAGATCTGAACGAGTGGTATCAGAGCTTATGCGTTGTGAAGTTTTGCTTTTGGAATTTTTTTTGTGCAATGGCTTTAATGAAGTTTGATATTCCACTTTTGGATCGTAGTACAAGATTTTCGTTGTGGCAAGTAAAGATGAGAACTGTGTTGGCGCAGATGGATCTGGATGATGCATTGTTGGGATTTGAGAAGATGTCCGCAACTTGGACAACAGAGGAAAAGAAAATGAAGGATCCAAAGGCTTTGTCTCAGATTCACCTTCATCTATTTAACAACATTCTTCAGTACGTATTGAAGAAGAAGAAGACAACAGATGCGTTGTAATTGAAGTTGGAGCAACTCTATATGACCAAAAGTCTGACTAGTAAGTTGCATTTGAAGCAGAGGTTTTATTCTCATCGCATGGTAGAAGGAGATTCAGTGGAAGCTCATTTGACCGTGTTTAAGGAGATCGCCGCTGATTTGAAGACGTTTGAGGTAAAATATGATGAAGAGGATTTTGCCTTAATTTTATCATGCTCTTTACCTTCTTCATATTCGTCGTTTCTAGACATGATTTTATATAGTCGTGATACACTCACAGTTGAAGATGTGTATGATGCGTTATTCTCCAAGGAGAAGATGAACCATCTTGTTCGAGTTACATCAAGGGATGAGCAAGCTCTTGTGACTCATGGTGATCTGCGGAAAGGTAAGTCGATGGTGAAATTTAGTAATGTGGTTTGTTTCTATTGCAAGAGGAAATGGCACATTTTGAAGGATTGTGACAACTTGCAAAACAAAGGTAATTTTCCTACAACTCATGGTAGACAATCTA